CTTTGTGAAGCCAGCACGCACTATTCCGTTCCTGGGTTGTTATTAATCCGTTCAGCTCGGATTTCGCTCTAATACGACCCCCTTTTTATTATTCCGTTCGGGCTGAAGAGCGCTCTAATACGACCCCCTTTTGTAATCCGAAGACAACATTACTTCCTTTGTACACCTGTGTTGTCATAACGTCGCGCGGATGTTTACATCATCACTTTGGGTGTTTGCATCGAACCGGGCTCCTCTTCGTGGTCCATGCACTCGCATGGCCGGTGTAGGCAAACATCTTGCCTGGTTGCGTCAACCCTTGCATTTTTTCCGCAGTAGTGTTCACTTCCCACCTGGTCATAGTCGCATCAAAGCTCCCTACTCCTTCTGTAGTCACTGTGTGGATATCGTCATGCTTTGTGAGGGCATGAATCTTCCTCCTTGTGTACTCACGTCCCCAAGACCTGGCTAGATTTCGTTGGCCTCAGCTTGCCCTTCAAGTTGTACTTCATTGCTTTTCATAAAGTGAGGCACAGCAGCAGAAGCAATGTCCTGAAGAGACTCAGGGAACCAAACGGAAGCGCGGGACTGTGGTGCCAGCATGACAACATGAGGCAGAGGAAATGTTTGGTGGTCCACGGGTGAATCATGAGCTTCGTTAACAGAGGCTGTGAGAAGTGTCTTCAGATCATGCTACTCCCTAGACACCAAACCCTAAACCCAACCCTAAACCACGTCTTAAATCTTGGCAGGGCGCCGAAAACCGTCTTCCTTCTTGCCGCAGGATGGGGCGCTGCCATGGTCTGTGAAAGTCCTTGATGTGGTAGGTTGCCAAAATTGCAGTCCATCCATAATGGGTATATATATAGTGATTGATGATTAATAGGTTTTCCCCAATATAGTAACTTAGTAGGTTGTAAAAACTATAGTCATTTTTTGGCGCCCGTTGTTGCATTACACGACCCCTCAGTTTCTAGTGCCCATAATGGGACCGCACATCTGACGACTGCCCATGCGCGCTACCTGGGGCCAGGCATTCGCCTGGAGCACGAAGAAGGCCTTGCACTCAGCGCTCTGCTCTGAAGCGTTCCACAACCTGGATGAGCCGTACACTAAAAAAACCGTAGATTCAAAACCCAAAGCTCTAAGCTTCGAATTCTAAACGCCACACTCTGAACCTTGCCTTCTAAACATTGAACTCCTTAATCTAAGCTCTTAGCCTTCGAGCTGCAATAGTCCGACATTAACGAACCTTCTGCAACGCCGGTCGAAGTGAGGCCAATGTGCACTTCGTGCCACAAGCCCAGATAGCTCCTGTAGCGAGGCCGGATCCGCTCAACAGATCGGATAGTAAAATAGGGGGGATTTTCCAAAATCAGGGCTGCCCTTTGGGGTTCCCCATAAGATTTCATGAGTAGGACTCTCATATTCTGGGATCTATTCCGGACCCCTTGACAAATGCGGTGAGAAGGTGAGCGAGCGGCATTGTTTCGCCGCGTGTGGAAGGCTGTGCAAAGAGCGCCTGAGGGGACGCAGAGACCAAATCCTGGGCCATGCTGTTTTGGAAAAGGTGTCATGAGCTCTGGTGTTGGTGTGTAGGTGCATGATTTCAAGAGGCATTAGGTGGAAGGCTTAAGCTTTTGTCGCAGACAACGCCTTTTTATCCGGCAGCATCTGCGCACGGTCGTCCGGGCTTAGGATGTTTCTTGCTCAAGGCCAACAGTTTCCCCAGGTTCAGCGCACCCACGCCAGCCGCTCGCATGGCCGTTTTCTGGCAAATCTTGTGCCCCGGAGCATATCCAAACAGAACTTCCATCATGTGCCCTGAAACCCCTTACCCCCATGGTTTGACGGTTGGATCTTAGCTCTTCCAGCAGGTTTTGGCCACCAAGGTTGATCCATATTTGTACAGATGCTATTCGAGACGGTGGTTTGCAGCTCGACGCCGACAAAGCGCTGACCATGTCGGATGACGTGGATGTCACCCAGGCTAGGCATCGCTGCTCTTTTTGTTCTGCCTGACCGTTTCCTACCTCCCCCCCTTCCCCATCTGCAGGGCTTGTTCTTGCTATCCGCAAGGCTCCCGCAGGAGCTTACATGTACGCTCTTGGGATGCAGGGCTCAGTTTACAGGCAACTCCTGGACAGCATGACTGTCAGCACCTTGGTAAAATGTTCTAAATTGTAGTGAGGCCCGAGGGGAAGGGTGGGTTGCTATAAGTGCAAGTACACGCGAGCACTGATCCGCGCGACCATGTCTCGCCGAGGCACCCACTGGGCGGAGGTCGGCCGGTGCTGCATGCAAGATCTCATAATTGGAGGCTCGCAGGGGGGGTTGACCAATGAGCAGTCTTCAAACGTTGTGATAGCAGATTCAGGGTTTTGCCTGGCCGCCTGCCTCTCATGTGCAAGCCGTGAGGGTGCAACAGTGGGCAAAGTGGATGTCACCAGCAGTCAAGGTGCTTGGGAGTTGCAGGGCTCACTCTTGTAATCTTGTGCGCTGCGCACAAATTCAAGCAGAAATTCACGTGTCTTGAGCTCCCGGCGCAGGCAACCAGATCTATGGCTTCCATGACAAGGAGAACAGGATCTACAAGCAGAAGCTGGACCACATGTCTGTGGAGACCAATTGGACGGTGGCATCGGCACCAGCCGTCAAATCTGGAGCCATCGCCGGGGACGTCGTCTATGCCATTGGTGCCGATCAGTTTTTGCATAAGCAGAGACTCAGCACAATGACCTCGGACAGCCCCTGGCAGAAGGCCAACGCAGAGCGACAGCTGGGCTCGATCGCCATCTATGACGGCATGATTTACGCCACAGGCACGGACAAGAAGGTGTACAAGCAGCTGCTCATTGAGATGGATTTTCAAACAACCTGGTTGCCCGTTGAAAGAGCGAACCCAGCAAACGGTTGGTTGGACTTGGCTGTCGTGAACGGCTACATGTATGCGGTTGGGCAGCTTGGACTCATGTCTTAGGACTGTTAAGCGCTGTGTCAGTGCGGGGCCTCCTTTAGGTCAGATGAAGTTGTTCTGTTGTGAAGGCCCCGCCACACTGTCTCCCGACAGCGCCTCGCAACCATGGGCCCTGGCGGCTGGTCCGAGATCTCCCAAGGTGAAGCAGCTGGCTTAGCTAGCTTAGACGGCATAGCCGCTATAGCCAGCTGTTTGAAGAGAGTTGCCCAAGTGTAAGTTGAGGTCAAAGCCATTGCAACTCCAGCTCAGCAGGCTGGGCAGCTGCGGCCAACGTAGCCATGCCAACAGCCTAATTACCCATGCAAGGGCCTATGCAAAGATGTGTCACATCTCTTGTTGCACAACTCTGGTTGTAGTATTTATAGTTTTCAGCAACATGGAAACGCTTCATCCTCGCATGAGTATATTGGTAGTTCTGAACCTCAAGAAGAACCTTAGGCTTAGGGCCGAAGACACAACTGGTAGAACAGGGCGCTTGCCAGGTCTGTCCGCGTCCTGACGGATGGTGCCAACAGCCTGCCCGGCGTCTGCTCGGAATTTGCAGGGCTTCCGATTTCCCAAGTGCATATCCCTTCCTGGATATTGGAGAAACCCTGTTTGCCAGGCCTATTAACTTTGTCAGCAAACATAGGGCTTTCAGCTCAGGCCCGCAATGAAAATCAGCCAGGCACTTCGAACCGAAGAATGCTCCAGAGACCGCCCATCCTAGGCTTACAGATTCCACGGACTGCGATGCTGATGGGGCTCGGAGCTCATAGGGATGCAGAGTTTTGATTTCATGCTAGGCTTCCAAGAGGTGCGACTTGGGAGGCGCTTTGCTGTTGTGGGTGATGGTGTTTATTTAACCTGAGTGTCGGAGTTTCTCTGCACATTACACGCAGCCTGATTTGCATCTAACGACTGCTGCCTCAGTGCGGGAAAGGGGGTGCGAGGCTGTGACCCTCAGAGGGCCGGGTTGTGTGATGAGCCTTTGGTGAAGAGTTCCTGACAATATTTGTAGCGAGGGGGTCCTCTGATGCTCGCCACTGATTCTAGAGTCCCTGATTTTAGCACGCACAGCGTCGGGGCCCAGCGGATTTGCGGACTTCGGCGATCAGATTTCCATCAAACATGTGTGGATGCGGTGCTGCGGCTTTCAAAAGGTTGAAAGGTTCCACTTAAGGTTAGATGAGCTCATCGAGGGCTAACGAGCTCAGGGCATCGGGGCATAGGACCTGCCATCCCTCTGAGGTCGCCGACCTGGTCTGTGAGGATGGTCCGAGACGCAGGCGTGGGGCTTGAAAGCATGTCTTTGAGGTGCCAGGGGCCCTGTGGGCCATCTGGGGGGCAGACAGGATCATCCACAGCCTCGACTGCGCCGATGAGACGTACAACAATGGGCATGCTCCAAATTGCAGTCAAATGCGGACGTTGTTCTTGGCGCCTTGGGAATGCAGTGAGGCCCACCTGCCGGCAGAGGTCCGCAAACCTTTGCAAAGTGAATGTACCCAGCAGTTGGCTTTTTTACTGGTATCCATTTGGCCTAGGTCCGGAGGATCAACCAGTGGCTCTCATTTCCTAGCTCAAGAGCTGGGAAGAAGTGCTCCTTTTGGGGCGCAGCGCTCGTCAAGGGCACGAAGGATAAGTGCAGCTGTGCGCGCGGTACATTGAGCAGGATTTGCATGTACCGCGGCGAACATGACAGCAATTCAAAGTGGAACCCACGCAAAATCCTTCAGCGTGATCCGTATAGTCGTATCTGGAGCCGTGATTGCCGCTGCGTTGGCGGTGATGAGAATGTTCGACTAAGAAGCAACGGCATCCCAGGAGAGCCTCTCGGGATCGCAGCAGTCGAATTCTGCTCGCAACTTTTTGAAGATGCAGCCAAAAACCATCCCCTTCCAAGGGATCCGATGAAGTGGAACCGCCAGAAGGCAAGGCAAGCAGCCTCAGGCATAGCGGATGAGCTTGCCGGTTTTGAGAATGTGTCCCTTTGTGAGCACAATCTGACGGATGAGGCGAAGCTGAAGGAGATGCTGGGCAACGCAACTGCTCGCTCATTCGTGCGCGTTTGCCAAGAGGAGTGTCAGGAGCTGGTGGAGACAATCCACAACCAGACTTCGTACATCGCCAAGCTAGGCAGCGCCAGAATGGCGTCATACACCGACTTGTGCTCCTTGGCTGTCGTTAAGGACGTGGAGTCCCATTTGTTCGGTTGCTGCGCCAAAACATGCGGCTGGAACAAGAAGGTCTGTGCCTTGGCTGCCTCTGTTTTGCTTGCAAGTATCAGGTCGTGTCTGCTTGCTTGCTTGCCGGCTTTGCCTGTAGATCCACTTGTGCAAAGATTGCCGCATGTAGCGACCTCGCTGCCTGTCTTGTGTGCGGGAAGATCCGCCAGTTGGCATCTACGAGTTGCATGCTCCTAGCTTAAAATGCAATATTTAGCATCTAGCGCCCCCACCAAAAATGCCAGCTGTCAGCAGTTTGTGTCATGCAACCCCTAAGAAAGAAGCAACCTCTTTTGAGCACAATGCCCGAGCTGAGGCACACTCTGGCCCTTCATGCCGAAGCAGGACCGCGTTGACTGGACGGAAGAGTGCTGCGCCGAGCAGCACATCCTCATCGGGTCGGAGCGGGAGGCAATGTGCCAGAGCACCTTACTACCAAAGCTGCGGGCGCAAGTGCAGAAGCGCGACCTCCTTCCTCCGGACATGGGTCTTGCTGACTTCTTGGGAGAGGACGAGCGGTTTGAGTGGACTAAGACCGGCGCCAAGTCGGAGCTTGGGAAGGTGGCTTGGGCCGAGGCCGGTGACCCAGTGAACGACTTGTGGCTGCGAGTGCAGCCCCTCACAGTGCAAGAGGGCCAGGAGCTGGGCTACTGGAAAGTCGTGCCAACTCCAACGTCACTGTTTCAAGCACGTGGCCCCGAGCATGAGAAGGACTGCATGAAAATACACCAGCAGATCACTGCCTGCACCCAGGATACGAAGGGGCATTACATGAAGAACTGCGAGAGAGCCCACGGCTGGAAAGTACGGGTCGACAAGTCGAACAAGTTCGCCCGCTTTTCTGCCGAAATTAAGAATGTGACAGATATTGCACATTGCGCTAGCCGCAATGCACCGGTCGCCTTCCAATGGAAGGGGAAGGGGGACCAGGAGCAGATTTCTTGCTTCGAGTTGAAGAACTTGGAGGATGGAACGGTTAAGACTTGGCTGGAGAAGCTCAAGCCACTCGCGGAACTCAATCTAAAAGTTCTCTTCTCGGACACCGCTGTCTACGTGAGGCATAGCTGATCCGCCTGAAGTGCGCCAGGCAGAGAAAAAAGGTTCAAAGCCTTGCGATGTCTGCGGCAATCCTTTTGGCAGCACAAACAGACTTGAGCCCAAACAGGCTAGCTTTCATCTGACACTCTGCAACCTTACGATGCATCTGCGTCCCGCAGGAGATATTCTGTGCTCAAAGCATCTCAAAGCCGACGCCTTCACTGGATTGAGTTGCCTTCAGCATGTAGTATACTCTACCTAGAATGGGTACCACAGCTTAGAAGCTGGCTGTTGCCAGTTGTCAGCCGTGCTCACAGACTTTCAACACTTTTCGAGTGGTAGTCCTTCTTGGGAGCATTCCTGCACAAGCAGTACCCAGCGCTTGCGCTATGTATGACGGGCATCTTGCATCGGGGGCCGTCAAGACCTCGGGAGTGGGTCTAGGTTTAAGTCAGACTGACAGACGGCAAAAGGGCAACTTTAAGACATTGAGGACTTGCATCGCTGAGACCAAGTATGAGGCTGAAGAACGTGGAGCACAAGGCGATGAAAACGTGGCTAGGCAAACGCACTGATGTGGAGAGCTTCCAAGGAAATGTTGAAGATCTTTTCAAGAACGCTGTATTTGTGCGCCTACATACAGGATTGTAGATGCTTCGCCCAGGGCCGAGCTCCGGCGGCTAGAAGGGAAAAAAGGTTGACGCTCAAGGGTTTGTCCGGCCTGCTGCCTCTCGTTTCACAGCTTCGCAGAGCGCTTCATTCAGTCCCGCCCATGATCTCTGTACTGTTGGAACCTCCAATCTCAAGAAGCCTACTCTGCGACCTCCCTTTGTCCATTTTTCAGATTTGGCAGGGAGTTTTGGTAGGGTGCTTGACTCTGGCCTGCTCTTTGCCTACTGCGCAACTCATGCATCCTTTTTGAGCCTGTTGGATGTGGTGTGCAGACGCCTTCAGTTCTTGCCGTGTGTGACTTGTCTCGTCAAAGGCACATTCCGGCTTGCCCTGCTCCAGTCCCGGACCTCCTGCCAAAGCAAGGATCATGGTCCATACTCGCTCTCTCTCTCTCTCCCCTTTCACGTGCTTGCAATGATAACCTCTTTTGACAGCATGATGCCAGATGAGCAGCTGCCCAATGATCAGGCCGTCTTCCTTGCTCATGCCATACTTATAATGTCTAACAGTGTCTGATTCCCCCAAACCCGAGGTCCTCAGAAAATCCTTGAGCTCTCCGCGTGCACGCCGCAGGGCCGTGGCTCAAGTATGTTTCGTGCTTTCGTCGTTTGTCCAATCGCCATCGCTTTGCGTGACACTGGACTGGATTCGGCAAGTGTTGCTCCACCATTTCCACCATATAAGCCCCAACAGCTAGCTGGAAGCTATGTACTGACTTTCGCAACTTGTGCAAAGAACGATGCAGCTTTCGTGACAGCCCCAATAGCCCAAAACTCCCATCAGCCTAAACTTTGGTTTCGAAGCCTCAAACCTCCTGAAATCAACTCAGAGCGACCCCAGGACAGTAGCCTCAGTGACCTGGCTTCGGAACAATGCACCTTTGAGGCCACGCCGTGCTCCGGTTGCCTCAGTCTTTTCAGGGTTCCCGGGCTTGGTGGGGCTGAGTGTGTAGAACAGGATAAAGGGTTCAGGTGTCAAGGTCTGGGATTGGTAGGGTCGCCCTGGGATTGGGAAATCGGAGTTGCGAACTCCATGCTCAGGATCTCCGTGGATCTGAGGTTTTGGAATCAGGGTTGGGATGTAATTAGATCCTTCGTGTGATCTTGGAGATGAAAGCTGAGGCTCACGACTCTTGCTCTTATTCTCTTTCTGAATCTCTGTTCTACACCACTCTGTACCAGTTTCGCTCCTCACATCCCTATCAGGTGTAGGGCTCTTTTGGCTCTTGCTCATTATGATGATGGGCATGGTGATGTCTCGATTATATATATCCCGAAAACATACCGCAAAGACCGGTTATAGGCACCCCTATATACGACCCAAAGTTACCATGCTTCTTCTCTCTGCCAAGGAGCGAGCCCGACATCGATGCCCGATCCCTAGTCTTTGAGGGCCCAGACTTCAGCTTCTTCGAGTCCCAGGAGCGTCTCCTGCCGCTGACTAGGGGCAGAAAACCAGCATCAGAGTTATGTTTGGTTTATTCTGGGGTTTGTGGCCAGGCTCTTGAAGCCCTGAGGCTTAATTTTGGTGCCAGCACTGCGATGTTTCGAAGTTCAGACCTCAACCATAGATCGCAAAACACCCCAGACATGCGCTTCAACAACTCTTGCAGGATGGCCCTCAGCCTGTGAACCTAGCCCTCGGATGCTGAAGCCTGTAAGCCCTTCAGGCTCACCTCTTTTCACCCCGTATGCCTTTGTGGATCGTTTCAGCAGGGACCACAAGCGCTAGAGCTCGTAGATACGAGGACCTCAACCTCCTTTCAACCCCTACCCCCTATACACCCTATAGACTCTAAGCAGAAACCCTACGCTAGAGCTTCCGCCCCCCTTTTGCAGGAATTCTTCTTGTCCAAAACCCCTAGCTGCCAGCCACTGGCATCCGGGGAGCTCTCACTGCGCCGAGTGCCCGGCACCACTGAGGCCTACGGGGAAGGGAGTCAACGTGGGGAATACAGGTACGGGTGTAAATGCTGTATTCCTGTTTAAGGTTCCTGTAGAACAGATTATTGTGTTTGTGGGTACATAAGGGACTTTACTGTGCACGCAGAGCTTTGTTCGTGGTCATGGCGATTGTTACCCTCGATAAGGCGTGGCTATTCTTATGTCATATGTTTCGTATTCTGGTTCTTCTGCTTTGTGTTCCGAGGGAGAATCAACCGTGGCCTGTTGCGCTTCAGGGTCAGGGCGTTGAGCTTATGAGCTTTCGATGTCCGGTTTATCACTGGATCCAGTGTCTAGAGGTTTCGGTGTTCGGTGTAGGGTCCAGGGCTAAGGCTGACATGTGGGATTGCTGGTTTCAAGGTGTCGAAGTTTTCGGGTCTAGGGTCAAGTATGGCCCCGACACACCAATGCTCCGTAGAACGCACCCCCCTCGCAATTTCCGTCATGCCCTGTTACTAGGAGGGGGGGGCGGTGTGCCCAAGTCTGGAGGTTTGCAAAGTATATGGAGTGTAGGGTTTAGGAGATAAGGTTTATGTGTCAGGGAGGCAGATTGAATGCTCATGGGTTTGGGATTTAGAGCAGCTGTGGGTTGGCGGGCTTTGAGGTTCCACAGAGTAATTTCGAGTTTATACAGCCGAAGCCCCACAAGCCAAATAAAAGATATTTCGACTCCCTACGAACTAGGCTGGGCTTCTTCCACACAATAGCTGTTTTTAATCCTCACAGGTTTGCGACGAAGGGTGACTGCAGGTTGCTGGGAGTCAAGCTGCAGAAGCGCTGCTGTGGAAATCTACACCCTGTCGGTCTCAATGTTGTTAGGAATTAGGAGGCCTCCGGCATAAATCTTACAGGACGCAGAAGCCCAAACATTTCAGGACGTGTCGGGCCAGAATCCACCCAGGCCTTTGAAGGAGCTTCGTGCCCAAGTCCTTCAGCTCTGTCAGCAAACAGACGTCAGCATCCCCATAGACTAAACAAAGATACTTTATTTGCATAAACCCTCGGCTCCATAGCCCCAGGCGAAGCGATTGCAGCTGGAGCAGCGTCTGCGGGTGAAGCAGCTCCGAGATGTATTGGAGAAGGCGTGTGGTGCAGCTTTAGGCCCTGCAAGCTTTATCCAGGACTTCTAGTGTGTAATCCTTGCACCCTCCAAAAAGGTTTCCTGTGAAAGCGAAGGGCCACCAGCCTGTCCTGAATAGCCACCATTGCTTTTCTGGTGCAGTTATCGGCAGGCAAGTTTTTTCTGACTGCACTTGCTTTTGGATGTTTGGGATTTCACCCTTTCCAGCCGTTTGCAAGCCTGCTTCCTGGAGTCGAAATTGCAAATAGATTTTGAATCCCAAGCCCCCAAGGTCATGAACCTATCGATCTCCCAACAGCCTGCGCTCCTTGTCCCCTTTGTCCTTAAAACTCCCAGCTGGCATATTCCTTTCCTAACCACCCTTCCAGCTCTACACTCTATCACTTCGACTTTAAGAACTCGATATTGTAAGGATTTAGGAGCAGGGGCTTCGGAGCTTCAGTTTTGTTCATCCACAAGCTGGCAGAAGGCGGCAGGTGGTGGTGGCGGAGCACCAAAGCGCAGCGTGGTCCCGGATGCCGAAGAGCCCACAGCGCCCGCAGCAGAGCTCCACATGTTTCCGCACCCGAATAGTTCGAGCACAAGGTGCACCCTGGACAAAGTTAGGGGCTCCCATCAGTGGGGTTAATCGTAGTACTAGACAAGTTGTAGGGTACGTCTGGGCCTTGTCTATGGCGAACCACTCGCATCATCAGGGTTGCAAGGCCTCCAGCTGGGCAGATCTCATGGAGGTCAGGGAGAGGGCATTGCGAAGCTAGGGGGCTAGGGGTTTAGGGAGCTTTGCTGAGCAAGTATGCAATCCAGCCGTAGATCACTGACAGCATGGGTGAGGCCCACAATATCTAGCAAATCTTTTTATGCCCCCTCACACCTGAGGAACTCTCCCAGCCCGAAGCTTCAAAGCCTTTCTCAAAGTCTTGGAGAGATATTGTTCAGGTGGAGGGTCTTGGTGGTCCCTCGAGTTCCGGAGCTCTTTGGCCACACCTACTACCTTTGCGCATCCCAGCAACGCCGCTCGGCTTTGGAGGGGCTTGCAAAGTTGGAAGTCTTGAGTCTCAACTCAGGTTGACAGTCAGGTTTAGAGTTGGATTTTGTCCAGTTAAGTTTGTGCAGGAAACTTCATCCTGGAATGCTGGAACAGGATAGGGGACGTATGCGCCAAGATAAAATCCAGGGGCTTGTGACCCCAGATTTAGATTCATACAGGTTTTAATTTTAGGTGATCTGAGCATGGGCTGCAGGA